TAATACAGTCAGAGATAGTAAACAACACTGGTATAGGGCTCAGCTGAACTTGGCTGAAGTATTGCTGCAGGTATAAAGAATTTTTATGAGCTTAGATCAGGCCTGTAATTATTTGAATGCTCTCATTTGCCTCCTGTGCTGTGTGGTGTGAAGAGAATGATCTAAATCAGTTTAGTCGAAAATGCAAAAAGAGTTTTCTTTGCTTTATTTGACTTTAATGGATTTTATTACAGATCTTTTGAGTGTTTTATATTGTTCTCTTTTGTACATTTGTACAATCTCTCTATTGTATATTTGCATTGAAAAAAAGTGTTTTGAAGCAACATTTTTTAATTTGGTCTAGATTGATTTACCCAGTATTGGCTATCTCAGTTTCTAGCCACTGTGTGACTCAGTAGAAAATTCTGTAGTCAATGCAAGTGTGTATGTGTGTGTGTGTGTGTGTGTGTGTGTGTGTACATGCATGTGCATATAACAAAAGGGAAGTTTAAGAGAACAATATGGCACAAAAGAAAAACAGTTTATGCATTTTCAGTATAATACTAATGAGCTAAGAATATTTAGTTTATCTGTATTGGACAACAAGAAAATATGGTCATTATCTTATCAAGGGCCTTGCTACTTCTACCTGCTCCTTTTCAAACTCAGGCTGAGTTGCTGTTACAAGTTGTAAGTAGCAAGTCTGAACACATAATAGACTTCCATGAATTATATTTTGTTAAGTAATGCTTAAAAGCATTACTGAGTTCCCTGTATTCCTGTGCCTGCACAACAGACCTCAGTGAGCATTTCACCGGCTCTCCTGAAGCTGACAGAGATGAACATGTAGCAACTTGGCCTGAGTGTGGAAAGGGCACTATGACAAAGTGATAAGGTCCTTTTTGTGGAAATTACCATTTTCTTCCATTTCAAAAATAAAACAATTAGTTTCACCGTGTTAGCATTTTCTTGATAATAAATAACCTATACTGTTTTGTTTTATATTTTGCTCTTAAACTTCACTGCTACATGTCAGTGTTAAGACAGCAAAAAAGTATTTCAGCATGCTTTTTAAAATGCTGGTGACAACAGATTCCACCACGCCTAAGGGTGAGAGCCACCCCTGGGTATGTCATTTGATGGCAGACAATAATTGAAAGACAGAGTAAAAAATAAATTTAAACAGAAATTCAGTGATAATGACCTCCTAATGAGACTGTAATTTTAATAATTTTTAAGTTTAGTGCTTCAGGCCTATGTCTTCCAAAAGATTTGGCACTTTAAAGTTTCATTTTAACAGATAAGTTATGCTATAAAGGTGGCACCTGTCAGTAGGCTTGTGGCTTATATTTGTTGCAGTTATCTGTTGCATACTTTCAGAGCAATTAGGGTTTTTTTCTTCTTTTTTACTTCTGGGGAAGCTCCAAACTAATAGAAAAATAGGGTGTTCATTTTTCTGGCTTGCACACTAATGTGGGATTGTTAGTGACTGTGTTCCACATCAGGAAGGTTTGCATTAACATTGCCAGCTGACTTATGTGGGTTGGATTTTTTTTTTTTTTTAATTGAAAGGCACAATAAATATGGATTCTAAATAGTCAAATGTTTCTCACTGTGTGTCACTGATATGAAAACTTTTGCCTGGGTTCTTTGAGAGGTTTCTCTTGCTGTTTCTTGAATCCCATTTCTTATTTTCTCTTTGTCATTTGGGAGATATCCCATTATATTGAATGATTTTCTGTGTGTTTAAGATGAGTTTTTATGTCACATAAACTGTTTTAACTGCCTGGTAGATATTATTGCCATTTATCACATCTTTTTTCTGTTATTTTTATTGCACAATTTCTCCATGCTCTTGGGCAAAGCAATCCAGTTGTCCAGGACACCACTGGACTTTGTCTTATCTCTTGTTTAAACCATTATAGTAATCTTCATGCTAACACCTTTATGATTCTCATGCAAATCCCAATGATGTCCAGCTATGACTCCATGCACGTACTTTGGATCTGCTGTTTTGGTCTTAAGTAGAGTTGTTGAAGTGTTAAATATACTCTGTAATTTAAGGCATACTTAGTAAAAACAGAAAGCATCATCATCATATTGTCACGTATGAAAGAAAAATAAGTTACACAATATTAGCTTTAAATCCATAAATGTGCAGAATAGGCCAAGTATGGTATTGGATTGCTTTTTGTGTTACCTGAAAGTCACGCTGGAATTCATAGAACCAGAATAAGAGAGTCTACTATTGTCAGCTGACTAGAGTGACCCTAAAGCTAGTCTTAGGACCACACTCTGCTATGATTCATCCTATAAATCTTCAGTTCCTAACATGAACACAAATTGTCATTTGCGCAGGAAGGAGGAACTGGGCGTGGGGGGTGCTTCAAACATTGCAGCCCTGTCCATCCACAGTTCACGGCTGCTAGCAGCAGCAGCAGATGGCAAGCACTTCAAGCTTAAGCTACAGCAAATAATGGGAAATAAACATTTGTAGCTCTCAGAGCTCACCAGAGCTTGTTCTTGGTCCTGATCTTCATCTCTTATTGAAGACACAGACAAAGGGGAGTAGTCAGCATAATTATACGGAACAAATTTGTCTGGATAGGCTTAGCCATTTAAGAGTATGAACACAAGTTCCTGTTGTTTGAGAGGTATAAGGAAGAAAAAGAAAAGTAGCTCATTGCCTCATGTTTCCCTGTTCTACAAATTGACATTATCATTAAGAAATTAATGATGCTCATAGTAGTGATTCTGTGATATGGACTTCCACTATAAGATCTTGTTAGGGATCATATATGATGATATTTTTTTTTTTTTGTGTGTGTGTGTGTGTGTGTGTGTGTGTGTGTGTGTGTGTATATTCAACAGCATGAAGACAAATTTACTAACAAGAGAGTGCTGTAAATTATATTATTTATAGAAAAAGCTAGGTCTTTGAGGCTTGTAACTTTAGTCTTACTTCCTTTCTTAGTCTATTGCTTCTCTTGCTTATTCTTAAATTGAATATGATGGATGCCTAGTACATCCTGTCCTTGCTTAGTAAATATCTAGAAAGTTGTTTTGAAAAAAGCATCAATCAACTCTGATACTGTCCTTTCTATAGTCTACAGACCGGTTCTGGTGACAACACAATCGTGTAAGTTGCAATTCCTGCTCGTTTCTTTCTGAGCCAACAGTATCCACAGACTGTAGCAATAGCAGCTGCGTATCTTCCCTGGCAGAGAATGATTTAGGGTGGGGAGCAGATTCTTTCCCCTTCAAATCACTTCAGAAAATTCTTGGCAGAAAGCCAGCTGATTTGTTTTGTTCAAATAGGGAGGTTTGATTTATCAGTACAGGAAAAGTATTCATGCACTGTGCTGAATTGTATGAATTCAGTTTCTGTGTCCCAGACCAGCTGACTTTGTTATTCTTCTGCTCACAACAATTTTTTTTTTTTTTTAAATGCAATGGCTAGAAAATACAAAAACATCTATGAGAGAATGTAGCCCTATTAATTTATTGATTGCAGTTTGTGCTATAGTTTCTGATATAGTTTGCCATACAGGTGTGAAATGGAAAGCATTGGTCACAGATTAGACTGGGAAATACAAATTAAGAAATGCAAGATAGTAAGAGCAGTGCAAGGAAGAAACTATACATGCCAAAATGAAGTTGCAATCCACAAATCTTACAGTTCAGTTTCTTTTTTCTTTTTTATTTTTTCTTCTGAATTACTAGATCTACTAAACAAAGAAGCCTCAATATAGAGATAAGATTTGTATTATTTTCTTAAACACTTATTTCTTTTTAGTCAAATTTTCTGAATTCCTAGCAAATTATTTATAAAGGAAACTCTGAAAGCATTTTTTAAAGTAATAATGTAAGGTTCTTTGTGATTCTCAATAAAGCAAAATATTAAAAATCTCAATGCTCTATTAAATCAGTATGACATACTAATATAACCCTTTGGATACGTTTACAGTTTAGGAACTGTGTTTTCAGCTATAAAAATTATAATGTATATATTATAGAGAGAGATATATCTCAGTTGGTAAAACCATGATACCTGAATGTTTTCCATAACTCTGAGGTGTTAACATCAGATATATTTTACTTTTCTGTCTATTAAAAAAAGATTTTATTTCTGTATCATGTTACTGGAGGCATAGTCAGCTGAAGATTGAGATTTGCTGTTGTGTAGCCTGAAACTAAGGAGTCATCCAGAAAGTAAAGGTATGGGCTATTTCAGAGATAAGACAGCAAATATTTTGAATGGAGTAGGAAGACAGAATGTTGATATGGCTTTCAAAATCCTTCCTTTCTCTTCAGCAGAATTAATCTTGTCCTGCTAGAATCTGGCTTCAACTATTTGCTCTATTTTTAGTTACTGATCTTAGCCAGGTCCTCAAATAGCTCAGAGCTGGTGTTGTTTGTGTCTGATGCAAAACTGATACAGACTTGGCTGGTATTTTCATTCATGTTTCATAATCTTCCCTAGTGCATACATGAAGACAGTGTCTTTGGTGAGCTGGGAGGAGATATTTGTATTGCTGTGGAGATCAGACATGTGTTGTTTGACACTTAGGGTGCTCCTTCTGTGACCATAAAGGAATAAGTGAAAACATTTTCATGAAAATTGAATTACTTATTTACATTTAGCTGAAGAGAGTTCTCACAGTTAGAAAGGTTCGGGAAGCTCTCCGAGATTTCTTAAGGGGAATCTCAGAGTGACCCTAAAGTTACTCTCTTATTTGTGTACTAAGGCCTTCATGCAATCTTGTATGCCTTGAAGAAAACTGAAAGTGTAAGACAGAAGTAGTGGTTTACTTGGCCCTTTGAGAAAACTGTTAATTCAAAATTAAGCCATTAAAGAGCTTTTCAAATGCCATTGATAGAAAGCTTGCTTCCGCAAAAGAGAAAATGTATGTAAGACCTTGCAGGCAATTTTTATTGATCAATTAAATTAAAATGGACACAGTGGAGAACAGATCTAGCAACAAAAACTATCAGTAATTCCATTAATATTTCCTTATAGAGTACTCATATCTCTAATTACATTACTTTTCTTACACTGCTGTATATAAGGAGGATCATTAATAGAATTTAAAACATCTAATAAGAGTTAAACTTTGAAATAAGATTTTTCTTCTTTTCTGTGAAATAATGCAACTTTTTAGGCATTGTAGGATTATAAATTCTCAGATTTAGAAAATCGGAATGTAATTGTTAATTTTGGTTCTGTGTCTCTGAGAAATGCATTCAGCAATCCATACAATATTCCTGCATTCTTGTTCCTTTAACTTCACATAGGCATAAAATACTCCATAATGAAACTGATTGTTGAATGCAAGTACATTCAGCTTTACCTGTGGAAAAGATGAAACAAATGTTATGATAAAATATTAAAGAAGGCAAATGTGATTTTTATATGGTAGCTTTTATGATCAAGATTTCTATGTAACTTTGTAGCCATGCCTAGTTTTAGGAGTCTCTTGAGTATATATATATAACTGAAATGTCATCCCTGGATTAATTTTGGTAATAGACTACAGCAACATTACAGGTAAGTAAAGGACGGTGGTGAAATACTTTCTGTAGTAGTCTATTCAAAAGAAATTTCATTAAGCAGTTTATAGGAGATGGCTTTTAGATAGGCTGTCAGGTTTGACAGTTCTATAACTAGTCTTCAGAAGAATGTCCTGGGATTTATTTTATTTAAAAAGGTAAATCCTTGTATTTCAATTCAGCCAAATCTTGACTGTCATAGAAATACTGTGTTATTGAATACGAATCTGAATTATACTGTACAGTAGAATCAAAAGCCTAGTACATCATTCTTGTTTTAAATGTTATTACAGGTGGGTAACTTTCATTTGGGTATTTTAAGGTTGGAAGCTCTTACCTCATGTTCAAAAAATGCATCTTCCAGTGTCTTTTCTCCAGTGCCACTCCCTACACCTTCAAACACAGCCTTGTATTCCTAAAAGCATGGACAACCACCCAGTGGAAATAAGTTACTTCTGCATTCTGTGCAGCACAGATACCTTACATTACCTTATTAATTAATCTGCGTTAAGTAATCTCTCTGCACAGAAGAACTCATGTATAGATTACAGTTCTACATAAATCAAAAGTTAAAAGCATATAGTCAGCAAAAGAAAGAAAAATCACATTTGTTCTTGTATCTCTTACCATCATTTCCTACAACTTAAAGTAATTTACTGAAGGCACTAAAAGAGACTTATTGTAGAATGACACATGACCTTTCACTCTTTTGGACAGAGAGCACTCAACTTGTACAAATAATATCATCAGAGCCAGACCTGTAAATGAAGCCAAAACCCTGAACTCTGATCCTCACATGGCTGCTCATTTTATTTCCAGTAGTCAGCTGGATTTGCTTTATCTGTGTTAATATTCTATCTAAATCCATTAGTCTGATATGTCATCCTGGAATGTTCTGCGCAGATATATTTGACTTTTTCTTATGTATTACATTTCTGTCTAATTTGCTTATCTGTGTATTTGTTTTGTTTTTCCTATAAAGTATCAATGCAGTATAGGTCTAATACAGTGGTTCCCAAATTCATCTAAATATCCCACCATCAGAGGAATAGACTTGCTCTGTACCACATTGACATGGTGACACATGCTTCTAAAATTCTGCTTATGCATAGGAACAGATACATATCTCCAGCTTTGTTTCTTTTGTGGAAAAAGCAGTAGACCAGACATCATATTGTTCTGTGTACTTACCTGGAGGTAGCTTAAATATTATAGGTAGAGTACCACAGTTAATTCATAAAGTGTTGCATATTGGTTCATCTTTAATAACAGCACTAGTCACATCAGTATTAACAACTTCATCTACTTCTTTGAAAACTTTTCAGAAGGGTATTTTTACGGTACAGTAGCACTAAATCAGGTTTACACTCATCTGTGACACAAATTGTTTGGTCAGCTCATTTTAAAATGAATCATGCTTTTGCTGCAAAATTGTGGAGGCAATGGAGCTGTGAAGTGAAACTCAATTTGGGGAGGGTTAATGAAGTAGGAAGAGTTTTGTTTACTGGAATGTGATTTGGTCTTATTTAAACATCACTGTAAGAGGAACTTTGTATTGTACTAAGGTAATAATGTATCTTATGTCTTCATATCAAAGGCCTTTGATTCCATATACATCTTTATGGGATCTTTTGTATCTTTAATGATATTTTTCTCTCCCAAAAATGCTTATGTGAACACTCTTAAAAAGTTTGCTGGCATCAAAAGATGTTAAATATTTGTGGTTTTAGTTTAAGAACTTAGATTACGTACTGCATAGTAATCTGCAACACACTTCACTTGGTCATAGTCATCTGCGTTGGCCAACAGGTGTAAGCCTTCTGGGTACAGTTTTCCACAAGTTGGATACAGCTTCTCTCGGTCATCTTTGCTCAGCTCAGTGCCAAAGGAATTAATGGTGATGATAAAGGCACGTCTGTCTGCCTCAAACTTAATATGCAAAACAAAGAATAAATAGGTGTTATTAGAGATCTCATTCTAAATTAATGTGGGGATATGTTTTTCTTTTTAGTAAGCTAAACTATGCACACTTTAAAAGAAAGTGGAGTTCAGAGCATTAGAAACATACCTTATTTTTAAAATTGTAAATCCTTTTGTGCAAATACATGTTAAATTTTAACTAGAAAATCAAACTGTTTTGCAAGCACAGCTTCTATTCTGTGATTTTTGTACTGAAAATATCATCTCTGCTACTTCCTCATTACCCTACTTAGTTACTCAGATGTTGACAACAAAAAATCTCCTCACATGCCCTTCTGAAGTTATGAAATAATACTCTTAAAAATACTAATAATAATACAGGAAAGAACCAAGAATCAATAGTACTGTCCTGGGTAACCTAGAGTGCTGTTGAGAATAAAGGTTGAATGGAAATTCTGAAGGAAAAAAAAAAAAGTTTCTGAATGCACTTAAACCAATTTAATAAGGTGGAGGAGGCTGTTTACTTGCCAAGTTAAAGTTTTCAAGTGTTTCAAGTAACAGTTAATTTTTAACACACAGAATCAAGGGCTATATTCCTTCTGCCAGATTTAGACGCCTGTAGTATCTGTATTTTCAAAAAAATACAGCAGTAGACTGAAAGTCATTCTAATGTCTAGATCTCAGGTTGTTCTTTTGTACAAGGCAAAATTTCACTTGCCATTCTTACAGTATGAATTAAAAATGTAGCGGTTAATAAAAATAATCTTACTCAATTCTGTCTGATTTAAATCCATTCTTCTACATTGAGATCTAAATTGACTATGATTTTAATTCTTTCCTTTATTACTTACTTTCATGTTGTAAGAACAGCAGAGCCCTTGCTAATTCTGGGGATTACGTGGGAAAATCTTCCAAGTGGAGCATATACAGTATACATACATTTTAGGCAGCTTGCAAATTTTTTTATGCTGTGAATTTTTTAACTGTTTTAAGCAGAAAGGTACTATTTTCTGCTGAATGGAAAGACTGCAGTTGCAACACAGTTCTACAACTTTATCAGCTAAGCACATATTCATAGATGTTACACTTGTGTACTGGAACACACTGTAACAGGGACCCAGCTGCCCTCTGGCACTGACTTCAGAGTAAGGAAAATGAGAAATAATGAGAAGAAAATAAGTGTGCTTGAAGAGATTTCTAGCTAATGAATAACAGGGCCAAATTTCACTTACCTTATTAATGTGAACAGGCATATCAACCCTAGTGAAACTGTTTTGGAAGGACAAATGCTTTATTTTTTTAACTTGTTAAAGCCATGTAGAATCTAGCTGTTAGATTTGTAATATTTTATTGGAAAAAAAAAAAGCATGCTCAGGTGCAACTGCAACTAAAGCTGGCAGGTTTGGGGCCTACTTCTGGTGGCTCCCAGTTTGAGAAAATTTGCGGGATAAGTCCCATCCATACAGACGTCTCAGTTCATCAAATTAGTGGCACATGAGGTTCTCCATAGTGAGTAAGACCATGAGGCAGTTGCTTGGTGATTTGGGCCATTTGCTGCAGGTAGAGGTGGAGTCACAGGGTTACCATTTCCTAAGTGCTTTAGTTTCCATATGGGAAACTGAATTAGCATGTCTGCTGCCTGAGAATTAGCACGGGGCCTCTTAACAGGCACAGCACTAGCTGCAGTGCAGTTCTGCAGTTTCTCACCAGATTCAGGGTTAAACATGCAACATTTGTTGTCTGTGGTGGAAGAGAGATTGTCAGTGTTTTTAATGTGAAGGTTGGCACCGTGACTGGGGGTCAAGGAATTTGAGAGCTAAATACCTCAGCTTCATTCTGATAGGGTCAGGCTGATAATCACACATATAAGATTACAGAATAATTAGCAAGTATTCTTTTGAATAATTAAACTTTGGCTTGTTATGATTTCAACTATTAGCAATCTGTTCTATGTGTGTGGTGGTTTAAATCACAGACGCTCGCTCACCCCCCAGTGACACAGGGGGGTGGGAAGTGGAGTTTGCAGTCAGTTCATCTTTGCTGCTTCTTTCTCCTCAGGGGAACGGCTCCTTGCACTCTCCCCCACTCCACCATGGGGTCCCTCCTGCAGGTTAACAGAGTTCAGGAACAGTGTTCCAACAAGGGCTTCCCATGGAGTGATGGACTAATTTGGGCGCAGCCCCCTGCTCCAGCATGGGGACCTCCATGGGCTGGAGACGCGTCTCTGCTCTGGTGGAGAGCATCTCTGAGATCTTCCACTCTGTTGTGAGCTTTCCACATAGTCACAGCTGCCTTTGGGTATAGCCTCCCACTCTAGCGTGGAGTCCTCCATGGGCTACGTGTGGGTATGTGCTCTGCCGTTAACCTCCATGGGCTGCAAGGGAATCTCTGTTCACCTCATCCCCATCTTTCCCTGCTGACCAGGGTGCCTGTAGTTGTCTCTCACATCCCCTCTCCTCTGGTTGTTGTCTTCTTTGTTTTTTTTGTTCATGTTTCCTGATCACTCTCCCTTGCCAATATGGTTCTACCCCTCGTAAATATGGATTTGTAGAAGTGTTTCACCATTGCTGTTGGCTCAGCCTGGGCTGGAGGTGGGTCCACCTTCGAGCCAGGGAAGCTTCTTGGAGCCATTGCTGTAGCCCCTTCCCCTGCTACCAAAAACCAACAACCCCCTGCCCCAACCCAACACAATGTGTGTCTTCAGATTATTAAAATGTTCTAGAAAAGGGAATCTTCTACAGAAAAGTTTATCCTCCAAGCTGATTGACATTAGATAGGGATTTTAAAGAAGCTTATCATAGACCAAACTGTTACCACTGGTATAGAGTTTTACGACATGCTTAAACTAATGTTGTAAGTAATCTGCTCTCAGCATGAGTTTCTAGCTAAAAATGAACTTTCTCATAAATCTGAATCAACTGTGAGAAATGTCTTTACCTTTGCCAGCCAATCTCTTGATTTTATTTTTCAGAAAAGAATAGTCAAAGTACTCAATTGCTGGTCAATTTAACTTGACTAAGACTATTTTCTTTAGAAACTGAACATAAACTGAAACGTTATGACTTGGTTAAATAAAATATGAAATTGCACTCCCTTTTAGGACATTTTTTCATAAGATGTAATTTAGGCTCATTCTTTCTTCAGGGGTGAGCTCCCGGGGTTTTTATCTCTCTCCTATAATGCAAACTTTTAGTGTAATGTCATGAGAGCTCAGTGAATTTTGTTCAGTTTCCAGGATGTAAGTTTTGTTTATCCAGAAAAAAAGACTCCTGGAAGCAAATGGGTGATCTGGCCCTCAAAACTCTGCAAAGAATTGGTGATAAACCACATGGAAAAAAAAAAAAAAATGAGCTGAATGCCAGAACTCAATTTTAGAAATTTCTGCATCTTTTATTACAATAGCAGTTACGAAAATATCATTTACTATGCTGCAGGTATGCTTTAGGGAGGAGTATGTTAGGAATTTTGTATGTCATGGAAAAAATAAATATTAGGCTTTTCTGAGTTGAGACAAAAATAAAACATGAAATGTTGGACTTTTCTGTATGACACTAGTTCCAAAGAGCACTCAACATTAACTTCATCCATTAATTTTAATAGGAAGTAAATACACATAACAGTGCCATGAATCTTAAAGATTATTGATTAGTAAATATACAGTAATGCCAGACCTTAGCTATCTCAAATTTAATTTTGAGCTGAGAGGTGTAAGAACGATCTACTTTCTTAGTTTTTCTACATAACACAGAAAAATGTTAGGAGGCAACAGTTTGAGATCAGTGAACCATTTATTCTGTTCTGCTCTCTGTTACTGAAAAGTATTAACTGAGGCTAACTCCTCCCCAGTAGTGGACTAGCTGCCTCTCTACCTAAGAAGTAAAAGTCATCCTAGAATAATCTTCATTACATCTTTAAAAAACCCACTTATTATTCAGAGGAGAAGCAAACATTTATCAGATAACTCTGCAAATGGAGAGAGAAGGAACAGGAAAGACACAGTAACCTAATTACTAAAACATTTTGGAGTACTTTCATATACAAAGACTGAATTTTTCTTACCTCAAGAATAGGTCTCATTATTTCAGCTGTAGTACCACCTTGTTTTTCACAAAACTTGTAAAATGCCTCAAGATAAGACTATGTGAAAGAAGAAGAGAAATATTTTAAATGCTACTTAAGAACTGGACCAGCACAACACATAGTCATGAATGTCACTTTTAAATACTTCCATTAACTTGGATAATTCTACCTATGAATTTAGATTCAAGTATGTGCTTAATTACTTTGCTGGATTGAAAGTTAAAATATTAAAATGCAAATGTCTTGTTATTATAATATGGGTTCAAATGTTTTCAAAAATCTTTATAGGACAAACATTATGTTTTCTTTACTCTCTAAAGAAGGAAATTCTTGAGCTCCATTGAGCTTCCACTGCATAATAAGCAGATGGCTGAAGGAAACTCTGCATTTATACTGTGGAGGAGGGGATTTGGGAATATGCCATGACTATGAGGATACACAAACTAATCCCTACTGCTTTATCCTAAACCCTGGATTAGGACAGAACAGTGGACAAGGCTGTAATGCTGGTCTGCAGAGTCCTCTGGTCTATTAAGGATTCCAGCCTTCGCACCCATTTCAAAATACCTGTGCAGGAAGGACCCTAAATATCTCAGAGATGCTGTTCCCTCTGCCTCTCCATCCCCCAAAATACTGTTTTAGGGAACATTTATGTTATCAAAATGCATTTGCTACAACTTCACACAATCTTGTGTAAAGAATCCGTCATTAACTACGCAAGTAAGTGAATTTAAGTAGATACATCTCGAGGGGGGATCTGCTGCATGGGATTATGCATTAGGTTCTGTATAGTGCTATCTGATAGTAAAGCTGAAACATAATTGATCACACTGACAGCTGAAGCAGAGGAGAAAGGATATATTAATAATTTAGAAGTGTTTGCAGAATGATCCCCCTGAGACTTAGAAGAGTGTGAAGAAAAAACAAACAACAAAAAAAGATTTAATAAGTGTAAATGTATGGTTATCCATACAGGATATAAGAATCAAATCTGTATGTTATCAAATGGAAAAAGATTGTCTAGTTTAGTAGTACTGTGAAAGAATTAAAATACTTGGGCATAACTGATGTTGTTTTGAATGAGAGGAAATAGCAGAATATTTAAGAATCATAAATTGTCTTGGGAATTTATAAGTATAATTTGTAAGACAAACAGAATATTTTTTTTCTTCCCCCCTGGTGCAATCAGATCAGTGTAAGAATACTGCCTGCAGTCTGGGGCATCCACTGTGAAAGAAAGACAGCAAAGAGTTTGGAGAGAATGTGCCAGGAGGAACCATTAATGGGAATGAAATATGTATAGCCTTTAAAGACACTACCTTTTATAAATAAAAATAAATGTTAGCCAAAAGCCTGTCTAGGATCATTTAGGAGCTAACACTTCTATGGCATTTGATGGATAACTGAGTTATTCATAAACAAATGGATCTGGATATTAGCCTGACATCTAAAGCATTTTCATTAATGAGATATTAAATTAGAACTTGGATGTAGACCTAAAATTTGAAAACTCTCCAAACAGTGGAGTAGAAATGAAAGGAGCTGGATTTGGTTCCCAGACTTGTCATCAGCCAGGTGACCTTAGACAGCTTATCTCAATCATGCTCCTGTTACCCCATCCGTAAAACGGGGTTAATGATACTGACCTTTTCTGAGACACTTTGGAAAACCCCAAGTATTATTGTTATGTTGCAAGAACTTGCCTTGTACAGTTTGTTGCGCATAATTTCAATGTTCATTTCATCCAGGTCATTTTCTGACAAGCAGTCTTGAAAGAAAGCAGCTGAAAGTAGAGTTTATTATGTTGCAGTATAAATCTACAAGCTAATAATATGCATCTCTTGTTTTTTGCCATTCATGTGAGTAAGGATCTGAGATTTCTGTTGTACAAGAATGAGTGATATAACAGAGAGGAAGAGAAATCCTCTTGGTTTTCCCCTTATCCTCCTCCTCCCTCCTTTTTAATGAGAATCTGCTGTGAGAGGAATCAATCAGTGCCGCAGCCAGAGTCTACATCTACAGAGAGAATCAGATGGGAAATGCTAATGAAAGCCCTAATCTTCTCTGAAGTATATGGTTTGGGCATTAGGAAGATTTTCTAGTGAGGAACATGAAAGATAATTTTTGTCTTAAATTGTGCAGGTATTCTGCAACTGTTAAGGAAAATCCTTTTTCCTATTTTCCCTCTTCTTCTTTGGGTGTATCTATAGTGGGGGGCAAGGCAACAGGTTGCAACTAGTAAAGGGCACAAGCTTTGACCTTGACCATCTGTGGTCCCAGGTCCTCTGCAGAACTGGCTGAAGACCAAGCTTTTGAACAGGGAGGCAGAGGATGAAGTTCATTTGTGCAGCTGGACTGCTTAAAAATACTGTATTCATAACCAACACAAGTATGTCAATCCCACACTGTTCCTAAACTATGCCGGTGGGGCAGACCAGTGTTGTCTCTAACAGTGGCAATGAAAGATGGTATTTAGGGAGGGCATCTGAGCCTTGCCATGTTTTGTGATCTTCTCCCTTCCTACTCTTCCATCATCCAGATTTTATATGAAGAACATTAGCGGTTATAGCCCTAAGAGTTCCCTTTAGTATCTCTTTGTAGATCCATTGCCTGTGAATTTGTCTCATCTTTTTAAAGATCTTAAACTACTCTCTGGTTTTACATGCTTGTTTAGCAAAAACGAAACAAACCAAAACAAATCCAGAAATTTGCTACCAAATGTGTAAAAATAGTGTTTTGTTTTACCTGTTTTAAAACTAGTTTTCTGCTGGGATTTGGTTGTCCAAAGGATTTGGTAAGCAACAGTTCACAGCTCACTGTGGACAAACTACTGCCCTCAGGACTTTATAAACATTATCCATATCTCTCTTCAGCCTTGTTTTCTCCAAATTGGAGTCCAGTCTTTTTAGTCTGCACACGACAGCACTAGGCCCTTGTTTATTTTAGCTCTCCTGCTCTGTGCCTTCACTGAATCACTGTATGGGGTGCAGGTGCCCCAGTGCTGGCAGCAGGGGCTGAAGGGTGGCCTTTGTGAGGAGAGGCTGGGGCTGCCTGGTGCCAACACAGCTGGTTCCAGCCAGCTCGGATGGACCCACTGCAGGGCATGGCTGAGCTCCTCAGCCAAGCTGGTGGTACCTCTGGGAAAATATATTTAAGAAAGGGCAAAAAACCACAGGATGTAGAGAGGAGGAGGGGAAAAAAAAAAAAAAAGAAACAGCAGAGGGAACACCAAGGTCAGAGAAGGAGGAGGAGTTGCCCCATGGCTCTAGAGCAGGTACTCCCTGCTGCCTGTGGAGGATCTGTGCTGAAAAAAGTGAAAAAACACAAGGTGGGAGAAAGGAGAAGGGAAAAAAAAAAAAAAAAAGAAACAGCAGAGGGAACACCAAGGTCAGAGAAGGAGGAGGAGTTGCCCCATGGCTCTAGAGCAGGTACTCCCTGCTGCCTGTGGAGGATCTGTGCTGGAGCAGATACTCCTGACAGGGGCTGCAGCCTATGGAGAGCCCACATCAGAGCAGAGGGTAAGTGTGAGGAGGAAGGAGCGGCAGAGAGAAGCCACCACATACTGACCGTAAACTTCCCCCACTCTTTGTGCTACTCATGGCCTCTCCAAAGGTACTGAGTGTAACCTGGAGCAAGGAAGTGGGAAAACAGGGAGTAAAGGTGTTTTCCCTAAGTGTGTAAATGTTTCTTTCTGTTTGTTTGTTTGTTTCCTAATGCCTGAATCAGTAATTAAATATATAAGTATTAATCAACAATAAATCAAGTTAACTTTCTCCAAGTTGAATCTGTTTTGCCTGCAAAAGTACTTGGTAAGTGATCTCAACCCCCAAGCTCCTTTTTTCCCCCCTCTGTTTTTCCCTGCTGTTCTGCTGGGCTGGGGGGCGAGCAAGTGGCTGTGTGGGAGTTCTGCTTCTGTCTGGGGCCAACCCACCATGCCTTCCTGAGAAGCAGAACTCAAAACCACTTACAGTGCTCAAGATGAGGGCTCACAGTGAGTGGTTTCATATATGTTCAAATCCATCCTATTCCGTCTTAGTCTCAGTACCCCTCCCAGAACTGCTTGTTCATTTTTTTCATGTTGGCTGCTGCAGCATATTGAGCAGAGTTTCATCCCAGTTTCAGAATGTGACATTCCCAAGCCTCATTCTGTTTTGCTTCTAGATGTAGTTCTTCAAAATAGGGATTTTCTTTGTGTTTGAATCATGCTCAGATCCCAAAGGGAATCTAGGTTCTACCACAACATCTAATATTTATTAGTAACTGTCTGCTTCTTGATCCTTAGTAGGGGATAGGCAAGATTTCATCTTACATTTTCTAATTATAGATGCAGGTGTTGAAATAAAAATCTAGATGCTGTAAATCAGTGACTACTTTGGGTTCAAAAGATACCCAGTACACTTCTTGAGTAACATGTTTTCTTTGTGTCTGCTACCCAAGGTTGATATAGAAGCTGTTAATAAAGGTTATGGGAGAATGTCCTGAACATCACTTCAGAAGTGCTTGATCCACACACTCCATGTTTTGTGTTACCAAAACACAGCATATCCAGTGAAAAACACGCTACTGTGTCTGAGATATTCTTAAGAATACAGAGTGAGTAGTTTCAAAAAGCAAATAAGAAATAATTCCGTGTTCCTACCTAATGGTGTGTCAACCAAAATTGCATTGAACAGCTCAGTGGGGTTTGAGGCAATGCTGACTGCTTCCATTTGCTCAAAGCTCCCCAGTGGATGGCACTTGGGAACAAGTTCAGCTATGGGCCGCTGGTGTAATGTGCCAGTTATTAAAAGAATTACGTTGTCAATCATATAGCTGTATCTGTATTTGAAAGAAAAAGTAAAAGAAATTTATGTTTATAATTAATTTGCCTTTCAAAAAAATAGAAAATCAAGATTTTTGAAAATTTGTAATAATACTGAAGTCAGAAATGACCACAGTATTTGCAAGTTTGTATGTTCACTCTGTATCAATGTCTCATCAAAAACAAACAGTTTTTAAATAGCAAGTAGGTAACACAGTACTAGTTTTAAAACACATGACTGGTTTGGAAAAGAGACACTTTTGAAGAAGAGGAAACTGAAACATGAATATAATAAGCATAACAGCTGTGAAATGTAGATTCACTAGAACAAGTGACAGTGACGGTGTCTAAAAGTAAATCACCTCAGCTAGCAGATTTTATAGTTTGTGATTTTGTTATTTCTTGCAGAAGTGCATGGGAATCTAGGCAGTAAAACTGCAAAGTTCATGCAGATGGACCAATCTTAAGGTTTTCTTCTCATTCAGCTTTAAACATAGAATCATAGAATG